CCGGACCCTGCCTTTCCCCTGCCCGCGTGTCCTGCCCGTCTCTGTTTTTATCACATCTGTCCAGTCCAATGGGCGCGGAGCGGGAGACGCGCGCTCAGAGAAAGAGAGAGAGATACGGGGTGGCGAGGGAGGCGAGCCAGGGGTCGGCGTACACCTTCAACACCAGCCAGCGCTAGCGCAGCGAGTGCGTGCCTTTGACTGACCAGCTTCCTCTTCTCCTCCGCAGTGCCCCTGTCGTCCGAGGATGACCACGCCGGCGCCATGGGTCCCGGGCCCGGCGTCACGGCCCTGGCGGACAGCGACGTGGAGTGCCAGCTGTGCCACAAGGGCCTGCCGGGCTTCCCTGCGCTCGCCGAGCACATGGAGAAGGCCCACCCGCAGGTGATGGGTGGCGACGCGCCCGGCGCCCTCCCGGGCGTGCACGGCGTGCACCTCAACGGCGGCGTGGCCGTGTCCGGCGGGCCCGAGTCGCCGCCGCAGGGGTCGGCGGGCGCCGCCTCGCCCCCGCTCACGCCCACCCCGTCGTCGGCGTCCTCCAACGGCGGCGCCTTCGCCGTGCGCCACTTCGTCAAGGGCATGGGCATGCCCGGCGGCGCGCAGCTGGCGCACGCGTGCGCGCAGTGCAACTCGTCGTTCGCCACCCGGGACCAGCTGGAGAAGCACGAGCTGGTGCACTCGCCCAACATTCAAGTGGTGAGTGTCCTGCCCTTTGTGTTTGCCGGTCCAAAGGTCCGCGCCCTCAGCTCCCTTATCGCCCAGGATCGCGTCGTCGCCCGTCTCCCCGGTGTAAACACAGGTCTGTTTGTCGCTGAACGTACACGCGCTCCTCCGCCCTTCCCTTTCGGCCGGCAGATCGGTTGTTTGTGGCGCAGCGCCGACCTGACCTCCATGCCGGGCTTTCACCTGAGCGGGAGGGGGGTGGGGGATAGCCTAAGCTCTCGATGCGGTCCCCGCTTCAGCCCCCGCACTCACCCCCTCAACTCCATCCTCATCCACTCTGCTCCTGCTCGTCCCCAACCCCATCCCCTCGACGCCCGTCAATTTGTTAGCACCGAGTGCGTCAAATCCTCGTGCTTGTGCGCTCGCCGGCGGCCCCCCGGGCGGCCCCTCCTCTTCATCCTCTACTACGACGACCACGAGAAAAATGAGGGTGATTATCTGCGCCCCGCCAGGCTGGCAGCCACCGCAGCCCCCCTCCCCTCTGTCTCTCTCCCACGCCTACGTCCTCGTCCTGGTCCGCCTCCCGCTTCTTTGCACGCACTCTCACCGTCGTCGGGCGCTTTTAAAAAAATACAAATTTACCGCGCGATGCTGCAGTGCTCGTCGATCTGCGTGCCTGCTGCTGCAGCAGCCAGCACGTCCGGGGACGTCCACACGTGTTGACGGGGACCTCGGCGACCCCCGGAGGTGGCTGTGGAAATGAGTCTGTCGCGCGGCGCCCCTCCTGGGGTGAATTAGTCAGGATCCCGTTGGCTGACAGTCGTGGGTGCGCGCGGGTGGCGGCGCGCAGTTGTCGGCTCAGTATCATTTTGTACTTGACTCGAGTGGCTGGCTGGCCGGCCGGCCGGCCGTTCGTTTCCCGCTTTCGGGAAGTCGGCCGTCGTTTTTCTCTCCCCGTCATTAGTGTAACGTAACGGTCAGTTACCGCCCGCCTCTCCCGGCCAATCGCCGGCCGCCGCTAACGCAGCGCTAACGATGTCTTAACAAGTCGACCATCTCTCTCTCACTCCTTTTTATTATATATTTCCCACTTTCTTTTTTCTCGGTCTCTCTCGGCGGCGGGTTAATGATAGTGCACCAACAGGATGTCGGTTGGTCCTTATCAGGGCCCGCCCGCCCGGCCCAGCACCAGCACCAGGTCGCGGTTATCGCCGGGCTCTGATTGGCCGCCGGGGTCGGCCGCCCCGCGTCGCCATTGGCGCGGCAGCTTGCCGCGGGGCTCGCCGGGCGGGGGGCCGATCCCGAGGCTACCTGGGCAGGTGCGAGGCGGGGGAAGAGGCTCAGGACGGAGGTGGGGGAGCGGGGGACAGCCCGTGCCGCTTCATCGGCCATATAAAAGTTATTTTAGATCCTCGCGTTTTCTTTTTTTTATTATTTAACAAGTTGGCAGCATCGAGGCCGCGTGGTGGCTGGGACAGGGCGGGGGGGACATGTGTTCCGCGCGACCGCCCCGCGCTGGTACTGATAGAGGTGAGCGGTATCCGACCGGGTGCCCGCCATCTTGTCCTCCTGTAGCAGGAGCAGCGCATGGACTCGTACCCAAGTCCACACCCCTTGACGTCGTCGTCGTCCGGCCCCCTCGTTGGGGGGCGTGCGTGGTGCGGTTGGCGAGTAATCGAACTCTTGCGAGAGCGCGAGAGAGATAGCGGGTTCGTCGCCGAAGAGATGATTCGATTCTGCCGGGGGGAAAGGGGGGTTGGGTGAGGGGCGCAGCTGCAGCAGCTGCCGCCAGCGTGGCGGTCCAGCAGCTGTTGTGTCTCTTCGCTGGCGAAAACTCGACAAATAAAAGCAGGAACAGAGAGGCGACGCGCCGTCGATCCTCCCAGCCCTAGCCGACGGCCGCGTGAGCGTTGGCGGCGGCGGCAGCGGCGTCCGGCGAGTGGCATCACGGCAATCTTGGTGATGGCCGGCGCATTGGCCGGCTGCTGCCCGGCGGCTGGGCCGGCTCTGTTGGAGCCAATCCCAGAGCACTCACCCACACACGCACACGCGGCCCAGCTGTACGCCCCAGTACAGCCGCCTGCCCCGACGCCGCGCCGCCGCCGATTCCCTCTCCATCATGCCGCCTCCCCCTTTTTCCCCCTTTTTTAAGTTGTTGGGGTTCTTCTTTTAGCCGGGCAGGGCGCGCGCACCGGTGTGCTGCGTGCGCCCTGCTCGCCCTGCTGCTGCGCTGCAGCCTGGGCGCCACTCCACCCACGCCCCCGCGCCGCTTGGGGCCGCACCTGGGCCTCATTGTGTGAGGGACACTGACTCTGTGCGCCACTGATTTCAAGAAAATTTTCAGCCTTTATGCAGCAGGTTATCACCTGAATTTTACATTATCCTCGTTTTCAATTTGCAACTCTATTTAGAAATCAGATAGGCTGGAACCCCGGGAGAGTTAAAGCGAGCGTGTTAAAAACTGTGAATCCAAACGATGCCAGAAGGTTACTAAAGGTTTATGCCCGTCTTGAATTTTTCGACCGATGTCGCGCCGTTTTGAGGCCACTGTGCGGCCGGCCGGCCAGCGAGCGGACGCACCCGCGCTCGGGACGGGCAGGGCGGCCAGGAGGACCAGGACAGGATGTTTTACTTGGGGCCCCGCCGCCCCCGCCTCGCCCGCGGCCCCGCGCAGCTCCCCCGCCGCGCCCCGCCGCGCCCCGCCGCGCCCCGCCGCCAGGTGGTCGCTATGGATACCGTGGCGTGCCTGCGCTGCCTGCCTGCAGGCTTGCTGCCGGCTCTGCCAGGGCGGCCCCGCTACGATGGCGGCCATGCCGACTAATGTCTTCTGGAAGCTGACCTGAGCAGGCTGCGCCGGGCTGCGCAGGCTGGCGGTGCGGAGCGGGCGTCCTGTTGCGTCCTGGATGTGAGTGCCGGCGAGGACGAGACCCCCCCCCCCCCCGCCCCTCACACACACATTCCCGCCCTCTACCTGCTCGCTCCACATATCCATCCACCTCCGCACCCTGCCGCACCGTGTACCTTTTTACACCGGGTCGGTTTCGTTTTCGTGTGTGCTTTTTTTAATTTTTAAATTATTGCCTCTGCGACTTTTTTTTTTCTTGCCCTCCTCGCCTCTCCGTTGTCGGCGTCGCGTCGGCGGCTTCCTGTGCGAGGCGACTCGGTCCCCCTACCTGGGGCCTGGGGCCTTCTGGGGCCCCATCTCCTCTCGGGAGGATCGCGACGACGCGACGCATGGCGACGCCAGTGAGGCCGTGCCTCCGCCACTGACTCATCCAGCGTCATCCCGTTCATTACCTGCTGAGGCTCGCTGACAACTCCCCCCCCCCGGCCCCCTCGCCAGACGAACGCCGACGCCGTCCGTCCCGTCCGTCCGCCGGTCGAGAGAGAGAGGATGGGACCAGCGCCGACGCCGTGCCCCCGCAGTGTCAAGTGGACGGAACGCGGGGCGGGGCGGGGCGGGGCGTCGCCACACGGCAGCCTGTTATCTAGCGCGCTGCTCTGCTGGTTGCGGAGGTGTAGAGGCGGGCAGAGCCAGCAGACGGAGACGGCCACACAACAGGCGCTCTCGCTCTCTCCAACGAAAGCCCCTTTCGTCCCTCTCTCGCAGCCGCCCCTGTCGAAAAAAATAAAAATTAAAAAAATGAAAGGGACTCATACCCGTGGTGGCTGCAACGGTGCGGTCTTGACAGCCAGTTGTCTACCTAATCTAAGGGGGGGGGGGGCTCTCTGGAACCGGGAGGGGAAGGGGTGAGACGTCTTAAAAAAGCTGACGTACGTGGCTGGCGTCGTGGAGAGG